TCAATTGATTTTTGACAAGGGTGCCAAGACCATTCAATGGAGGAAGAACAGTCCAGGGAATACTGGATATCCACATGCAAAAGACTGAGATGGGCCCTTACCTTATACCATTAAAAAAAAAAAAAAAAAAAAAACCCTCAAAATGGATCAAAGGCCTAAATTTAAGAGCAAAACAATAAAATTCTTAGAAGAAAACATGGGCAAATATTCATGACCTTGGATTTGGCAGTGGTTTCTTAAATGTGACATCAAAAGTACGAGCAATAAAAGACAATAAATTGCACTTCAAATTTTTAAAAATTTGTGTGTCAAAGGACACTAGAGAGCGAAAAGGCACCTCCCAGGATGTGACAAAACGTTTATGAATCATGTATCTTCTAAGGGTTTAATAGCTAATGTATTATAATAGAACTTCTAGAACTCAACAACAAACAACCCAATCAAAAAACGAGCAAAGGACTTGAATTCCTCCAAAGAAAATATAGAAATGACCACCAAGTACATGAAAAGATACTGAACATCATTAGTTATTAAGGAAATGCAAATCAAAACCACATTAGATGCCATTTCATACACTCTATGATGGCTATTATTTAAAAAAAATGGAAAATAAGAGTTGGAGAGAATATGAAGAAATTGGAATCCTTTTACATTGCTGGTGGGAATGTAAAACATTGCATCTGGTGTGAAAAAGAGTTTGGCACTTCCTCTAAAAGTTCAACAGAATTACCATGTGATCCAGCAATTCTGCTCCTAGGTATATACCACAAGCAATAGAAAATGGGATTCAAACAGTTATTTGTACATCAGTGTTAACAGCAACATTATTCACAATAGCCAAAAGGTGGAAACAACTCAAGTATCCATGAACAGATGAATGGATAAACAAAACATATATATACATATATATATATATATATGTGTATATATATATATATATATATAATGGAGTATTATTCACCCATAAAAAGGAATGAAGTTCTAATATATGTTACAATACAGATGAACCTTGGAAACATAAGTGAAATAAACCATATACAAAAGACCATATATTGTATAATTCTATTTACATTAAAAGTCAGAATAGGCAAATCCACAGAGATAGAAAATAAATCAGTGGTTGCAAGGAGACGGAGGGAGGAGGGAATTGACAGTGACTGTTGATAGGAGCACTGGTGGTGCATTGGTTAAGAATTTGGCTGCTAAACAAAAGGTTGGCAGTTTGAATCCATCGACCACTCCTTGGAAACCCCAATTCTACTCTGCTCTATAGGGTCGCTGTGAGTCCGCAACGGGTTTTGTTTTTTAGGTTTTTTTTTTGGCTGATAGGTAGAGGTTTCTTTTCGGGATGATGGAATGATCTGTAATTAGATAGTAGTGATGGATGGACAGCATTGTGGATATACTAAAAACTACTGAATTGTACATTTTAAAATGGGTAAAAGGGCGAATTTTCTCTCAATTAAAAAACAAAGACAGGCTATACTCCTAGCTGTTATAGATCTTGTAAGTGAAAGTATCTTTGTGTGCCTTTACCTCCTTCTGGCCTCTTCTTCCCAGATGTTGTCTTTACATAGAATATTGTGAATTGTCATAGATGTAATTTGTTATGCAGACATCCTTGTTTATGAAACAGGGATCTTTACTGGTTTATTTACCTGTTCTTCTGTCCTTTATTTCAGAGTGCCCTCCTCCGTTTGTGTATCTTATTGTTGAAGTACTTGCTCAATGTTTTCAAAGATCTTTGCTGGGAAACCTTTTGACCTGAAGATACCTTCATTTAACCCTTACATAAATGAGAGTTAAGCTGGACAGAAAATTCTGGGTTCTAAGTTCTTTTCCTTCATCACTTTGAATTATTCCCTTATCCTTGAACATTCAGTGTTGCAGTCAATTATAGTTCCTTTGTTGGTGATCTGCTTTATATAAGCTTTTAGGAAATTTTCTGTCTTTAATGTTGTATTTAGGTGTTTTCTTTTCCTCTCATGTATCCTGTTTGGGATTCTAAGAGTCCTTTCTCTTTGTGGGCTTCTTTCTTTGCTTTGTTTTTATCCCTGAGAAATTCTAAGTCATAATTTCTTCAGATATTTCCTATCCTTCCTTTATATTTTGATCTCTTTCTGAGACTCCTCTTAATGAGTGTTGGCATGTCTATTTCTACCCAACATAACTCTTCATTTTCATGTTTTCTGGGAGAGTTTCCTCGCCTAATTCTTTAGCTGTATTCCTTTTGTAATCAATAATCGATTTAATTTCAATTATTTACCAATATATTATTTAAATTATAAGCTAGTATATCTAATTGGGCATATTTAATATGATTATTTTGAATTCTGCTCCATTTGGTATAGATGGTAACTTAAGTTTCTCGGATACTTCTTTTTTATCTGGTTATGGGTATGAGCTACCCTGGGTAGTCTTGTATTCTAAGAGAGAAGCACTAAAGTCTAGGCCCCAGCTTATGGCCCTCGCTTGAATAATTTGTGTTACCCCACTCCCTCAGGGATCTCTGCCTCCCCCTCCTGGCCTTTTTCTTAAGCATTGTCTCCCTCAGGTCACAGAAGGGCTGTGTGAGCTGGAAATGTTCACGCGCAGACATTTCTTGTTATTTGCTCTTCATCTTAGCAGGGCTCAAGCTCCTCTCTGATGTCACCAGTACTGGGCTGGTGCTGTTTTTCTGCAGGGAGGATGATGAACCTTTCAGAGCAATGTGGGAGAGGGAAAAATATGCACAATTGACATCTTTTGTCCAAACCCATCCTAGTCTGCGGAGCCTGGACCTCTTCTGCTCTGGGCTGCTGCTCCCAAAGACCCAGCTACCTGTTATGGCCCCAGGAGTCTTCATTTTTTTCATTAATATCTCTTATCCATCAACCTTTCCCCAGCCACTGAGGTTTCTCCAGGATTGGACTCAAGGAAATAGCCTGTGTTATTCTGCCACTTCTCAGAGACGACTGGTGTTCTGAGACTCTGCTGCTAAGCGTGCCTGAGTACTTCCTTAGGGTAGACACTAAGAAATTGATGGTGGTTTGTACAATTATACGATTTCCTAGAATCAGAGAATTACCTTAGTTCTTTGATATACATGGGGTCATTGCCATGAGTCTGACTCGACTCCACAGCAATTGGGTGAGGCCTGAGGTCACTGGACAGTTAAGTGTCCACGGAATGGCGACCTATCGGCGTTCCCAGGCGACAGCCCAATTGTGTGTCCACCGAGCAGATTTATTTACAAAAGTTTAGAGCTTTCTGAGCTGATGGTCTAATGTTTTGGCCTGGAATCAGATATCAGGATTAGTCAAAAAGGCCTGGCACAGCCTCTGAGTAACCTTGGGCAAACGTTTTCACTGAATCTTCGCATTTGTAAAATGTTCTTTTGTATTTACTTCGGTAGCTGTATCAAGTGAGATGTTTGCAAATATGTTTCATAAAGAGAAAAACATTTTATGAGTTGTTAACATTTAAACCACAGAGGTGTATGAGTCCCCCCGCCCCCCCGCCAAATGTCCGGGTTTTATCTGAGTTTTTGTACTTAAACTGGTGAGGCAGAGGGCAGGTGGCCTAGTGCTCAGCATCTGGGTGTTACTCTGAGGCAAAAGCCTTGGCTTGTTCTCCAGGAGGAATTCCGCCCTGCGAGCTACGGGAGCGCAATCTCAGGAGCTCTAACCGCAAGCGAGCCTGTAAGTGCCGCCTCTGCCTCTCCCTTTCTCTCTCGCCTCCCTGCGGGAAAGGGGCTTGTCTTCAGCCCAAATGGCGCGTGGGAAGGCTGGGTCGCTGAGGGAGAACCTTCGGGTCTTCCCAGGTGTGTTCCTGTGGTGCTTCCTAATGGTTTGGAGCTCAAAGGCTAGAAGACTGCCGGCCTTTAACCGCAACGGACCCTAGCATAACTCAGGTACGCCATACTGCTCGCGGCAATCCGGCAGTTGGGGGGAAGACTTTCCGGAACTCTTTCCGGGGAGAGCTGATTGACTTATACTCATGCCAATCAAGATTTTCTACCCAATGGGCCTTCCAGTCCCGAGACGGGGTGCGAGCTGATTGGCTAAGATTCACAACTGGTTCCCCCTCCGGCGTGAAGGTAAAGCGCAGAGACTATTGGGAAAGTTCACAAGAGGAGCGAGGCACGACCGGAAGTGGCGTTTGGGACTGCTTTCCTACGGTGCTGCTCAATGAACTTTCTCATGTGGCAGCAAATTCAGTCCTCGAGTTGGCCCGAGGAGAACATTTTGATTGGTTGTTTAGGCCCGAGCCAAAGAGACTCACGGGAGCGTCGTCCTAGCTCACCTGGTCGTTATTGACCAGTTTGTCTGTCAATCACTTCGTTTCTCTGGAGGGGGCGGAAACAGGCTGCCGTCTGGCACCGCCTCTTCCTGGGCTGGTGTGAGGCAGGGCGGCGAGGCCTCAGGGGCAGGGGAGCTGCTGCGTGGGCGGGGCCGCGCTGTCGGCCTTGCTGCCTGTCCGCCGCGGGCGAGCGCGGGGAGTGTCCCGGAGCGCGGGGCCGCGAGGGCGGGCCAGGGTGGGGGGCGAATGAAGGGCGGGGCCGGGGCGTGGTTGAGGTAGGCGGAAGCGGCGAGCGAGCTCGAGCCGGAGTCGGAGCCGGAGCCACCGTGTGGGCCGGCG